TTTATTAAATAACCAGTTCTAATCTTGGTTTGTTCGATTGGAAGACTTAACCATTAATATGGAAGTTGCTTAGCGCACACGAAAATTTAAGTTATAAAATCACACGAGAAAAGTACTTTCGGCGAATAAAGATACATCTTTTTGTAGAATTTGCAATATTTTGTAGCAATATTGAAAATATGAGCCCTGCAGTTTGGTCATTTTGGTCACAAAATTTGAGCTCTTTTTTTCTTCTTCATTTCACAACAAAGCTAATTCCCTTCAAAAGTTAATTTTTAACTATTATTTATTATTTTTCAATAATTTTAATTATTATTAGTCAAAGAATTTGAATTGCAAGAGATACAAACTTTATATCATTTTAAAGAATGTAATCTTTAAGTGGCAACATTTAAAATTTGAAGGAGAGTGATGGTACAGTTTCAAATTTCTCAAATTTAAAAAAAATATTTCAGTTTGAAAGTTTAATTTCTCAATACTCAAATTTTATTTTCTCTCTCAATCAAATTATTAATAATCACAAATATTCCTGAAAAATATATTTTTTATATGAAATCTTTTAAGAACAATAAACGTGTTTTATAATAGTGCCCAATTTTTTTTTTAATTACTTCATTTGCTCAAGAGATATCGTGAAACTCCTAGAAAATGAAATTGCCAAAAAGGGGCTGAAGCTTTCGATCACTTTCCTGAAACAATAAGAACCACATTTTCCAGTTTGCTGTCACCTTCCCCCATGTATTAAGGTTCAAGAATTGAAATCTGCCATTTATTTAGAGAAAACGCGTTTTTGTAACTATCGTCTGCATCATTTTTAATTGTCGTCTGCGCTAATTATCGTTTTTAATATGGTTTCCTATCCATTAAGATAGCATAAAAATGTTGAAAATCGAACTTTAGAAGAGAAGTTATTAAAATGTTCTCCTTTTTATTCTTCGCGTTTTAATTTTGGATGCTATAAGTACAATGCCGTCAGAAAAATCAAGGTCATCCAAACACGTGGAGAACTTAAGTCCAATGTCGTAGTATTTATGAAAACACATAAATCAGAAGCATCTATTTGGAGATATTTGAAATGTAAATGAAATTTTATGTCACATAAGCGATTCTCTATTCTTTAGAAACTACTACTTTAATGTATGTGCATTTAATCGCATAACTGGATACGTTTATCCAGGAAATCAACTCCTTAATCAAATAAATCTTTTGTCTCATTGTCGTTCTTTGGATCAATAACAATTCGTGGTTTTCTCTGAAACATAGCATATAGTGAATATTGGGAATAAATCATGAGATCTATAATTGAGCATTTATGCATGTTTTTTTTTGTTTCTTAATAAAACTAATCCCATTTTTACATTTTTCGATTTGAATAATAAATACAGCAGAAAAAATATACTAGCATGAATAACTTTTTATTTAATGCTTAGATTTTCACGTTTTAACACTCAGTTTTTATGGTTCGTGGTGAAGACCTCAAATATGCTAATTAATCAGTGGAGACGATATTTTTAATTACGATATCAAGCATCTTGAAAATCCCTTATTTTTAAAATTCAACTCCTGAGACCGTGTCGACCGATTTTGCTCAAATTTTGTATTTTTCCATAGGTTCCTAAAATGACGTAAAAAATTTTTAACCTTACAGTTCAAATTTTTTTCACCTGTTAAATGAAATTGTAAAAAAATAAGAAAAATTTACTAAATGTCATTTTTTTTCGCAGCGAATTTTCTTTGGATAAGCGATTTATATAATTGTGTGCAAATTTTTTTCAATTCACTTAAAAAGTTGTAGATATGACAAAATACGCGTTAAGAAGTCCAAGTTTTGGACAGTACACCTGACAAAACTATTGGGACCATATTTCCCATATTACGGCTAACCCCTATACTTTGGAGATCAGAAAAACTAATCCGTTGCAAAAGGGTATGTTTATTCAGCGAAAGTACGTTTTTCCGTCTGATTTTGTAACTTAAGATATCCTCTGCACTAACTTTATAGCATATTTGAGGTCTCTCGAACTATTAAGATTGAGTTTTAGAATGTCAAGATCTGATAGTTATATCAAAAGTTATTCAAAATAGACCCTGTTTGATTGGTGCATTGTACAGGAATTCAGCAGTTGTTATTAAATTTTTGAATTTGCAGGCCAGGTGACCGAGCAGTTAGCGTGCCTGACTGCTGCGCGAACAATAGTTGCAGGTTTGAATCCCGCTCTCGGCATAGATACTTCTTTCTGTGTTGTCCTATGTTGTGCGTCAATGTGCCCCTCCCCCAATAAATCGATACTTATGACAGTGTTCCGTGGGTAATGTTGTTCGCCTCTGTGACTGAGGTTCACGTATGTACAAAGGGTAACGTTAAAGAGAACCGTTTACGTCATTATCCAAGGCAAATAAACGAGATTTCTATGTCTGCCATTAAAAAAAAAAGATTTTTAATTTTTAAAAAAAAATGATAGAAAACTATTAAAAGCAAATCAAACGAATAATCTTTAAAATACTTTTGACATTTTAATTATAACGATAACCATATCTTTTACTCCTTAACGATATTGTGTTTTGTTGATGTCTACGCGCATGCGCTGTGAAGCTCAAAACAGCGTTATGAGAATCCATAACACTAACCAATTCGAATTTCGAAATTTTCCAGTTCACAGAAATATTACTTAGTTTACTGAAAAAAAGTCTCTGTGAAATGGAGCTAAATATAGAACAGATAATAAATTCCTTATACCGTACTAAATACAAATATTAATATATAATTTTATGTAAGTTTATAAAATGGTGTTAAAAACTAAGTCTGACATGAGAACAGGAAAAAGAAAATTACACCGAGGCCCATCAAAGTTTTTACAGCGATGCATTTAAAAAATTTATTGCGAAAATTTGCCAATTTTTTTCTTTTTCTTTCATAACATTATATTTTTAGTTACTTCGCAAAAAAACCTTACTTGTAAAAGTTAGATTTAAATTTTTATACAAATGTAGAAGTTTTGTTAATCAAATTCCTGTCCTGCCTTTTTTGAAATGTTGCCTAAAATTTACGTGACATTTTACATCTTAAATTTTGAATCTGTGTGAAACTTCGGCTATTTTAATTTACAAATGTTTTTACTAGGTTAGAGATGTGACAATTTGATCTACCCTTAAATTCGATCAACCTAAGAAGTGAGTTTTAGAATCTTTCTTAAAGTATGCCTTTTTTTCTTCTCCTGAATGATTTGAATCGATGGAGTCTGAATAGTTTTGATAGAATTAATTTTAATCGATTTTAGAATGATTTTTATAGAACTAATTTAATTTGAGTTGGTTGATCTAATCGATTTCGGAATTTTTTTCGAATAATTTGTATTGAATGAATGATCTGAATCGATATAATTGATTTAAATTAATCAATATTTTTGAACAATTTAATCAAAATTAGAATGGATCATAGAATCTTATTTCTATCCGATTTCTTAGAATCAAACTTAGAATCCTATTTCTATCCGATTTTTAAGGAACTAGGAGAATCAATCTTAATGAAAGATTAAATCAATATAATTCAATTTCATTTTCTCTTCATAACTTATTTCTAAATTTTTTTCGGAATAATTTGAATCGATGAAATTTGAATAGATTTAATCATTTTAATTAAATTATTTCATCTATTTGATTGAATGACTGAATCGAACTATGAATTATTCAAATTGATCTAATTCAATTGCTAGTTCAAATTTGTTTCAGAATTTTTTAGGAACTATTCGTATCGATAAAGTATGAATGATTTATATCCATTTAATTTAAATATTTTAATCAATATATTTTAATGAATGAATGGAAGTCGGAATGATTTGAATTAATTTAAGATGCTTTATTAATTCTTTAGTTATTTCCTTTCGAACTTTCTTCTATATGACTTGAATACATCGTATTGAAAGATTGAATTTATCTAATTCAATTATCTCTTTCCATCTATCGCAGTTCTTAATATTTCTGAAATGATTTAAATCGATGAAGTTTCAATAATTTAAATTGAGAAAAATTTTATTGATCTATTTGAATAATTGAGTCGAATACAGATTTATTTGAATTGATATAAATAAATTTCAGTTGTTTTATCTAATTCTTTTTAAAATCTGTTCAGAATAATTCGTATTGATGAAGTACAAATAATTTGAATCTATCTAATTGATGATTTTAATCAATCATTTTTAGTGACGGAATGGAACTCGTAATTATTTAAAACAATTCAATAAACTTGATTCTATTACTTTTTAGACTTTTTTGTAATGATTGGAATCTTTCTTTCTGAAAGATTAAATTGATCTAATTCATTTATAGATGTTTGATCAAACGCATTTCTAATTTTTCTTGAATGATTCGAATCAATGAATCAATTGAATGATTTATTTTGGGATGCTTCATCAAACTCATTTCCAAATTTTTTCGAAATGGTTTTTACGCAGCAAGTTAGAATAGTTTTAATCAAAATAAATTGAATGCGTCTATCGATTTAATTGAATGATTAAAACGAATTAAGAATTATTTGATTTGATGTAGTTTAATATTTATTTGCTTGGTATAATTCTTTTCTGATTTTTCTTAATAATTTGTAGCAATGAATAATAAATAATTTGAATCAATTTTAAAGGCTTGAACAAATTCATCTCTCAATCTTTCCGAAATGATTTGAATAGATTTAATTGAATCAATGAATAGATATAATTTAGCGGTTGAATCGATCATTAGATCGATTCAACCGTTTATCAATTATTAATGCAATCTAACGATTGAATTGAACGAATTTAATCTAATTTATGGATTGATTCAAACTCGAAATTCTTCAAATTGAAGCCAGGATAAATTATCCTTCAATATCACAACGTTCAAGACGAAACTAGTATGCATTTGGCGAACAGTCCCCAATGCACATCAGAGAACAAGTCAGAATAATCGGAAGCAGCTTTTTGATGACGTCATTCCGGCCAAAAGCTTCAGTCAAACTTCACGTGGTGGATGAAACAAGGATGAAACCTTATTTATAATCACAACGCCGAGTGTTTTGCTGTCAGTCAGTTAAGAGCGAGTATTCGATGCATTACGACAGATAAGATACTGATAAAAACGAATTTTCCCTTATAAGTGTTTACTACCGGTAAGCTGCTTATCTTTTTTTTTATCTAATGGAGATAGAAATAATTATTACACATTCTGTGATTTTATTTTCATATTGTTTTGCTCTTAATAGTTGTTTATGATCGCGTATAAGAATTATCCATCCTAATATTTGCATTAGATCATAGTTTATGTTCGTATATGTGAAATAATTTTTTTAAAAAAATGTGTTTTTTTTTAATTTTATGCAGAGTTTAATACACTTACAAATTAAATGCATGGAAGTTTAAGGATACTTTTTACCAACTATTAATTTGTAAGTGTAATGTCGTTAATTTTGTTAAGATGGTTTGTTTACAAACAACATCTCGTTTATAATTGTACTAATATTGCAGATTTTATTATCACGGTGTTTAAGTTCCGCATAAGATCTTTACTGGTTTTATTTATTTTATATCACGATTGAGTTAAGACTTGAATCTAAATTGATTCTGAATAATTCAGATTTACTGTTACACGAGAAATATTAAGGTAAATAATGGTTTTTCTTTTTTTAAGTAAAGTTGTTTAAATTTTTAGGCAATCATTTTAATCATTGAATAGCATTACAGTTAATAAAAAGGGTACTTTAATAAATTATGAATAATATTTTAACATTTCGGGAAAAAAATTCCATTTTTTAGAAAAGTATGTTCATTTTATGTCAATATGCAGTGAATACTTGGTGCAAAACTTTATTTTAAAAATAAATTTCCAAATGTACTAATATTATTTGATTTATCACTACGTTGCTTTCTCTTACGTTTTTTAAGTTGTAGTACTTTTATTAGTTTTATTTAATTGCAAGCTGGGAGTAATATTAGTAATTGAATCAAAACAATTGAGATGCCATTCATAAAGACTGTTTTCATCTTCAGAATTAGGCAGTTGTTTAAAATTTTAACAGACATTTTGTTGCTTTAATTTTAATAAAATACAACGCAAAAACTTAACAGTCCAAATATTTCATTTGCATAATCTTTACAGCTGATAATGATAGTTATTGGTATTAAAAATATTTTTAATGAATTCTTAGAAACCTGTTCATAGAACATTATATTCAAATTTTAATTGATTTTCAATCGAAAATCATTTTTAGCTATTGACATATAACTTTTCTGTATTGAAAGGATCGTATAATTGTTCCTGTATAAATAATATACCTGCTACTGCAATGTCTATGATAATCATTTATATTTAATTAAGAGTTTATTCTTTGATATGAATTTGCTAAACTCAGCTCATGCAGTGAACAATAAATGCTGCAAAATTTATGATAATTAAAGCCTGCAGCGAAATTTATAATATTTAAAGCATGCGTTTTATAAACTTGTGAAATTTCTTTAACATCTGGTTGTTGGAATTTGATTAATTTACAGCCCCAAAACTATAATAATAAAAAAATAATAATTTTCTTCATTTTATGCTCCTCAAGAGTTATACCTTCTTTGCGCAGATGTGGGTTTTATAAGTCCCCAAGTAATTCTCTCTCCTTTTGTTTCTAAGTCAGACTTGGCTTATAGAGTTATTTAATTTATTTATCTTAAATACAAAATAATGTTAGTTTATCGCTGTATAGCCACATTAGGCTGATATTCCCTTAAACTCTTTCTTCTGTCTCAGCCTTTGTCGACTGTGTACCCTTGTGTATTAAAATTTTTTAGATCCATAATGTCATAAATTATTTTATGCACTTTACAGCACTCTTTGCTTTGGAAAAATACACGAAAAAAGAAGATATATAATTTTTTTTTAAAAATGCATCATTTTAATGGAGATTTACATATTAATAGTGGAGAATTAGATATGTATTAAAATTTTCTCAGTAATATATTAAAGGTTTGGAATTGTAAAGGAAATATTAACAGATAAGCAAAAGGAAACAGGAAGCATTTTTTTATTCGTTTGTCTTCCATCCTTGACAATCAACTGATAGTATCCCTAAACATATGGTAACAAATGTTTAAAACAATTGAAACAGAAGCGTTATTTATACCATGTATATGTTATTCTTACACAAACTAATGTGTTTATTTTTTTTATCGAGTTTTACGTAAAAAAAATATTTACTTTTATCAGAGATTATTGAATAGTCTAAACTTTTGAATTCGACCTAATATTTCATATTTTTAACTTTTAAAATTAAATAAAAATAAGAAAAAAACTTTTTAAAAGTCTTACATGTTTTTTAATTTTTTTTACGAAAGGAAATGTCAACATTACTTTAGCTAAATATGTGTGAAAAGTATTTCTGAAAATTGTTACAACTCCATTTTATCACAAGGCTGTCCTTAAAAAAGAAAAAAAAAACCGTAACTGATGATTTAAAAATTTAATGAAATACTTTGTTTTGTGCCCGATAAAAATTAAATATTTTTTTTACGATTATTAAATTTAAACAAAAGAAATTTCAAGCTGAATTTAATTTTAGATTTTTAAAGGTACCAGTATGGCTTATAATTTAATATTTTTACCTCAAACATTCAAATTTAAATTATTACATAATTAATTATACAAATATTCCTTTTATTTTAAAATTTAGTTTTAATGTTTAATTTCTTTTTCTATTGACTTATCACTATTTAGTGAAATGTATAACTTCTTGAACACAGAAACTTTTATTTGATATTTCAGCAAGAAGAAATTAGTAATAATTATTAATATTAATTAATAATTATAATTAACATTACTTAATAATTATTATTAATTTTAATTAATAATGTATTTATTTTACGAACAAACTATTAGAATAAAATAAAATCTATAATTCATTTCGTAAAATCAGTAACAAAATAGTTAGAGTGGAATTAAAATTAAATTTTAAATGTTTCTAAACTATAATTCATTCTTGATATACAACATAATTTGTAATCCATTTATATAAAAACAATTCTTAATAACTATTAATAATTAGTGTTTAATAATTTCTTTATGTTATGAAAAAACTATAAAAATAAATTAAATCTAATATTCATTTCGTAAAATCTATAACAAAATAGTAAGAGTAGAAATAAGATAAAATTTTAAATGTTTTTAGACTATAATTCATTCTTGACATACAACATAATATGTAATGCATTAATATTAAAACAAAAATTTTAAAATTATTTATATATTTGCTAAAAAATTGCTAAAATATTATATTATAAATAAATTTTTTTTCTATGAGAGAAATTATTTTAAGTGGGAGGAAATTGATTTTTAAACAATTTTTTTCTTTTCTTTTTTTATCTTTAGAATTCCCTAAAACAGTTTTCTAATTTTGTTTTATTAATTTTAACTAAAATAAGCTGAATACATTTTGAATAAATAATTAATTTCTTAAATAAAATAAGATGTCAAGATGGATTCAGGATTACAAACTATTCTATCGCATGAAATTTTTAATTCTTTAATTTTTTAGACTAAGTTTTAGAAATTTTTTTAAGGGAAAACACAAACGTTGAATATTTTCTATCGATGAGTTTTAGTGATGATGGCAACAGTCCTAAATACAGTCCTAGCAACCGAAGTCGTCCGTAAAACTATCAAATTAATTACCCGGTCATGCATTTAATTTAGACAAGGCATTCAGCCATTTAGTTTTTAACTCTAGTTTGAGTGTTCATGGATTGAATACTAATAACGATTCTCTCGATTTCTTGTTTTTAATAAGTAGAAAAATGCAGTGAATATTGTTCGTCTATGCATGTTAATTCTCGTTGGTAGTGTCCCGTCGAGAGTTGAAGACTTAAATACAAAAATTATTTCAACAATGTATCTGGTTAAGTTTATTTTTAGCTTTGATGGCACATTTTCTTTTTTATAACCTCCTGAAATCCGAGCTTTGAATAATGACCGAAAAAAAAACGATTTTTACTTAGAAATATGTAGCTTAGAAAAAAGATGAATGCTATAAAATATTTTTATATGAAAAAAACTTCAATTAATTAAATTTAATTAACTTTTTTTTAATTTTTTGTTCCTAAAAATTACAAATTTTATTTGTTTACCAATTTTTGTTTTATCGTTATCATTAGTGGCATCACTGCTCAGTGTGGGCCTAAGACTTCTGTTGAAGAATTTTTCAGTCCACTATTTTGCAGACAAATCTCCAGTTCTTAACTTTATTTATTTTTTTAAATTTTTTTTTATTTCCAATGGCAAGGCAAAAAGGTACAAATAGAAAGATAAATAACGAATACAAATGTAATTAGGACAACAAAGAAGACCGAAGTCATTGCCTTAAAAGTTCTCCTGCTTCCCAATATCTTGAGGACTCAGTTTTCAAGATATTGGCAAGATATTGAGAAGTTATAAAGCTCTTAACTTTAATAACTGAAAAGAAAACCTTCTAACCATCTTTTCTTTCTTTTTTTCTTGTCTTGGCTTTCTATTATGGGGGATGGCATTGAAAACTTTTAAGGCATCTCTGCTCGAATCCATTCTTAGCAGATGAACTTATTTATTTCAAAGTGTACATGCAATCCAACAACCCCATTTCAATTCCATCAACCTCTTCCTGTAAACCGTAATAGCTCAGCGGATAGAGCTTTCGCCTTCCCATGAGGTGAACTGGGTTTGAATCCCAGTGATGACTGTTCCATACAAATTCCGCATCCGGCTTGCACCTATCGCAGTGCTCACGTAAATATACCCTCAGTGGTAGATGTATCATGGGTTTCAGAGTCCCCTTGCTTTCAGGCTAACCGTGTGATGTTTTTGTATTTTTCCTCACCATGTAACGCAAATGCGAGTTAGTTCTATCATAAAATCCTCCACGTAGGCAATTTCTTCCAATACTTGATCCAGGAGTCCTCCTTGTCTTCTGGATTGGGTTCAAAATTATATGGCTACGGAGTTGGACATTAGTAATTGTAACCCCAAAAATCGAGTCGGCTGTTCAACAACGGTTATAAAATGAAGTAAAAACCTTCTCCTGATCAATTTTCGTGGGAGCAGTTCAGGTTTTTCTTCGTTGGAATTCGAGAAAAAGAGGTTTTATTACCATTCATTCCCAAT